TGAGGCAGCCCTGCTGGAGCGCTCCAACCAGCTGGGTCTCCTGTCTCCGTGGATCAGGAACGCCACATCAGACGGCCACGTGCAGACTCTGGTCAAGGTCCGTAACGAGGGGCGGCTACGCCACGCCAACCTTGGTCTGCTCTCTTTAGTTTACTGTGGCAACTATGACCTCGACTGCGCTCTGTACGAGGCCCGGTGCTCTAATCTGTCCACGCCTTGGTTGAAGTTTCCTGAGCGGCTGCTGGACGTCGGCTTCGCCGGTCGCTGGTGGATCCTGGACTCTAAGATGCAGGACTTTGATGTGAACGAGGACGAGTACAAACATCTGCCTGCTCACATGCAGGCGACGTCACCACCCAGTGTTCAGGAAGTGGAGAGGAATGAGAAGTTGCACAAAGAGTCGTGGCTACCGCTGTCGATGGAGGAAGAGGAGAAGAAAGACGAGCAGATGGTAAATACCAAGGAGGAGGTTGTCAGTGAGGAGAACCAGGCTGAACAGTTACAGGAGGAGCAGACGGCAAATTAACTGCTCATGTAAATAAACACTAGAACATCGTTTTTGTCCATAATCCAGATGTCTTACCTGAACCTTCTCTGAGTTTCCACCACTTCCACTGAACCAGGAATCAACAAAACCTCAGAAACAGCCTGTCTTGGTGTTTTATTTATTTTTGGCCTGTTTTTGTTTTTGTACAGAAAATATTGCATTTATGAAACACAACAAAACCAAGTGCCAATAAATGTTTTATTATCCTACATTTGCTCTGTGTGTAATTCAGTATTTTTTTTGTATATAAAGAGGCAAATAGAATGCGGTTAAATGTGGTTCTTTTTGATTTTACTATTTAATGACAAACATTTGCAACAATGTGTCCATTGGGTTGTTGGCTTCATGTCCTTTGGTCAGGAGGAATAGAAAATGGTTGAAAGATACAAGGAGGAAAATCGTTGTCTTAAAAGGTCAAAGGTGACTAATGATGACTCACCGTGACACCCGTGCTATCAGATGGCAGTGCTTGAAGGTCACTGAGGTCACCGTGGTATTCAATAGCTGGCTGTAGAACTGCATCCACGCTGCATTATTGTTGAGCCTGTAAACGGCTGCGTGTGTTTTTGCAATCCGCCACCAGAGGGCGTTTTGGTGCCAGCGCTCAGTCAGCAGATTGGTTTTAAATCACACTGGTGTTTTTTTATTCCTTTTTCGATTAATTTAAAAATCAATTTCTGCACTACTTTCATTCATTCATCTCAGATGATGATAAATGTACGACCTCACTGTGACTGAGGTCAACAAAAAACTATAATAAAATCAATTACAATCAGCACATGTTGACACATACTGAAAAGGAGTAGGAAGAATCTAACACTATCCCATATATATGTAAATATACTGAAGTACTCCTACTACAGTAATAACATTAATAATAAACAATTAGACAAGAACTACCAATGACAAACAGTAGTGTCATCACAGGTGAACACAGCGCCATCTACGTCCTGTAACAAACTCCTGAGAGGAAATTTAAATCAAAGGGAAACTCTCGTGAACTACACCTTTAATTTTTCCTCCTTAAAAACACATGACTACAGGACGCTGCTCTTCCTCTTCCTCTTCCTCCTCCTCCTCCCTTCTCTCTCCCTCCATCTTTGACTTATGGCCTTTATTGACCTCTGCTCCCGTCTGCCCCCTGACCCCTCCCCCACACAGACAGCGGGTCTGTTGGTGGCTGGGGTCAGCGAGGACGGTCAGTGTCAAGTGGTGTTTGAAAAAAACAACCACGCTGCTCGTCTTTTCTTTTTCTTTTTCTTCCTCTTCTCCTGGTGCAGGGGTGAGTGAGGCGAGGTCGGTCACCTGACTGTCCGCAAAGAATGATGGGAAACGCAGACCCATTTTGAAAATCCCAGCTGTATTCATACACACACACACACGTGTATTGATCCGTCTTCCTCCTTAGTATTCCAGTATCATTCCGGCCATTTCTTTCAGAACTCATCGTCTTCACGCCGGGCGAGGAAACAAGGTTAAAGTGGACGTCGGTGCGGCCATTAGACTGATGATGTCATCCCTCGTTAGACATCACAAGTCGGCGTGTTCATCGTCTGTCGGATACCATCAACCTGGCTGTTGGAGGAGCTCATGAAGGATGCTGACATTACCCCCCCCCCCTCCCCTCCCCTCCCTCTCTCCCCCCTTTTACCTCGGCTGCACTCACTAACCCTAGGAGGGGAGAAAATGATGGGGGTGGGGGATGTCTGTCTGTCTGGCCACCATGTTGACCTCAGTGACCACAGCAGGACCAGACTTGTACGCCGGCACACATACCTGCACGACAACACACATACACACACACACAGACACAGACACAGACACACACTTGAAGCGACTAAATCAATATGTAACCAAGGAAGGATGGAGGAGGATGTTGAAGAAGGAAAGTGAACGAGTGAAGGAGGATAACGTTAGTGGAAATACAAGGAAAAAGAAGAGGGGGTTGGTGAGGGGATGGAGGTAAATCCACAGAAACAAAGTGCAGAAGTACTCCAGTCGGACCGATGTACCTCTCCAGGTTACTGCATCGCGCAGGAGTCCTTTGTTTAGGGAGTAGATCTGACGACAAAGTAACAGTGATGAATATTTAATACACGTTTCTCAAAACCACATGACCGGATTTCAGAGTCTGACATTTACAAAAACTCATCTTGTTCAGAGCTTCTCTCCATCGATTCAGTTCCATCACACTGGCTGCAGATCAGTGGGCTGAGCAGCTGCCTCACACCTGGAGGGTTGTGGGTTTGATTCCTAAAAACCTGTAGTGTAAACGTGCTGCTCAGGGCTGGACAAGCACTGAATCAGTACAGAAAAGTGTTTTCACATTCTGTAAAAATTAAAAAAAAAAAAAAAAATTCAGTCTCTAAATTATTATTAATTAATAAATAATAATAATAATAATAAATAATTAATCATTTGTTTTTTTGAGCAAACAGAATTAAGGTGACCAATTAACGTCAACAACTTTCAACTTCTTTATTGTGTTAGCGTAGCTTAGCGACATGCTAAGTAATATTAGCATCTGTGTCGCTCACATTAGTTCAGTTTGAGACTTTAACTTGTCCTCAGAGCTGGTGGGGGGGGCTGACAATAATATGAACGAAGGAAATGATGTGATAAGACTGAGATTGAGGACGAAGGGTGGGGGGGCCTGGGGGGGG